ATTTATCGCAAAATGGCAACCTAGAGATTTTTTAACAATAGTGAATATGTAAGCAGTGTCATCCACTTTGGCTTGTGTATTAATCTTGTATTTGAAAATATTTTGCCATAAACATCAGTAACTGTGTGCCAGATGTATAGAATCAACGGTGACAAATGAAAACACTTGCTTGTGACGGCCTTCTGCACTCTAGAACTCCTGCATTACATAAAATTGGAGCTGAAAAATAAAAAAACCTTTTGATTAGTACAATAAAAAAAACAATATAGGAAGTAAAAATTACCAGAATCTTTAGTTTTAGAAGGCTTTTGCAGAAAGAGCAAATATACATCTAACATATTATAGGATATTTAGCTCTGGGATTTTGAAAAAAGAAGAAAAAACAAAACACACCAAGCCATATTTGTTAAGGATGATTCTGAGTTCTTGAAAATCTAGGGGCATTTGCAAACAACAGCATGGCTCTCAAGTCAAATAGTGACAGTTTTACAAGTAAATGTAAATTTTCATTAATACATGGAAAAAATGAGAGAATCAAATTTTAGAAACATTGGGTTAAGATGAAAGGATAAGAAATTCACAGATCCTTTGGCTTTGTAATTCAAATTATGGCTTAAAGCAGTAGTAAGTTATACTTCTATTTTATCTTTTGAAATTCAATGTTTGAATCAAGTATTGCTATCATACTAACATATAGATTCTTTCAAGAAATAACTCCATGAAACACAGGCACTGAAAAAATTAATGCATAAGTTTGCTACTGCGTGAACACAGGAGAACATGACCAGCTAAGGAGCAGTGGGGGAGTAAACGCAGGCCAAGACCGACACGGGAGCGTCTGGGACAAACAAGTCATGACGAATGCCACTGCCGCTCAAAACGGAAACTGACAGAGACATCTGAAGTCAAAGAAACGAAATGAAGGACACAGAGTACAGTAAAACATTATTAAAAAGGAAGAAACCCTTCTTTTCTAAAGCTCTACCTGATGAGGTCAGAAGCTCAACAGTCAGCTCGGGGAGGGAGGTGGGGGTCAGGTCGCTGTTACTTCCCAGCTTAGCCTTGACTCTAGAACTTGGCTAATGACTGCTGACTCACCTTGAGCCGTTCTGGATTTTATGCATAAATGGAAACTGCTCTTTGCTGACACTGATCTGGTGGCCATCACGGCTGCCCTGCACTGGGGCCCTCTCTACCTTCTTCTGCTTCTGGTTTCACGAGCTTTGATATCAAAGTATCAGCATTCCAATCAAGAATTTGATCCCCTTATAAAAGCAGAAATTCTCACAAAATCAACAATCAGGAAATTTGGTTAGAAAATGAGCCTAAGAATTAGGATATTTATGTAAACTATCATTTTACTTCAATGATTCCCCCCAAAAATGCAATTTCCACTTATACAAAATTCAAAACAGCTCAAGATTAGTCAAGAGTTATTAGCTGAGTCCTAGAGCCAAAGCTAGGCTGGGCAGTAACAGCCGCCTTTTTTTCTGCAGCTAACTGAACCCTGTGCTGCAGTGTGCTTGTGTTTTGTTCATTCATTCGCTTTGGGAAATAATAGCTGAGCATCTAACTTAGAGCTGCACCAGATGCTGGAAAGCAGCAGCGAATGAGGGGGAGGGCTGTGGTCTTAAGGAGCTGCTGGATCAGTGATGAAAGTGGACCAGGAGAAGGCAAACAGAAGTGCTGGGAAGACCAAACAAGGCTTGGGGGCTGGGTGAGGGCTCAGCGGTACAGCGCCTGTCTAGCATGCGCCAAAACCTGGGTTTGAGCTCCAGAACCACAAAGCAATAAGCCAATCAACCAAGGGGGAAAAAGTGTCAAGAAATACAGGGACTCTTACTTCTTGCGGTCCTTGTCCTTCTTCATGCCAATACCTGATGCCAGAAAGGACTGGTTCTGGAGTATGTCAGAGGCAGCTTTCTTTTTAGAGAAGGCAATTATTTCTTCTTCCAAAACTCTTCTCTTTTCTTCAAGTTTTATTCTCTCTTCCTGGTGAATTCGTTTAAGGTGCTCAAACTTGGCTTGCAGCTGTGACACAAAAGTACAATTCCAGCGTCTGACATCAGGTGGCAGCGCACACAGGAATGTGCTCTGGCGAGCAGGTTCACAGGTACAACTGCCTTGGTCACTTAAATTTTATAGAAGTTACCTGCAAAATTGCTTGAACTAAACGTAATAAATGCCACAGTTGTGTGAACAAAACTTGATCTTTTCCTAGAGTTATTTCTTGCTTTACATTTTTCCAACAAAGTTTAATAGTTTCTCAAGTCTATGTTCAATAAAAACTAGGGACATGAAAACACAGAAGGCAATGACCAAGAAGAACCCCCCCATTTTCTATATAAGGATAATATATATAATAAAGTTTCTGAAAATTATACTGGTAACCCCTGTTGGAAAGAAAGTCAATTTATGTCAAGAACTTTAAAACTGCATCACATTTTTAGAGTCATTCTGAAAGGAGGAAAGGAATTCTCATGGGGACAAAAACAAAAGACAGATTCTCAGGCCTTTAATCTGAGGGAGGAGAGAAGAAATACAGATAAGCAGAAGGAAGCAGGAAGGTTGTAATTTTAAGTTGTACATTTAAGGAAACTGCAGCTGCAGGACGCAGTTATCATGCCCTTTTCCCTTCCAGAAAACTCACTTAAAAACAAACAAAACAGGGCAGTAAGTGCCTGTAAATTGGGCCTGTGCTTCTGACTCACAAACCCCTAGCCTTCCTTCATCAAAGAAACAGCATTAAGCAAGCAGTGTCTCAAAACTTCAAACACATGCAAATGGTCTGTGAGGGTGCCCTGACAGACACTAGGAATGCACAGCCTAGAGGTCGTGAGGTCACGCCCAACACATACAAAGCCTCCAGTCTCAGACCACATGCATTTACTCTGTGAGCACCTGCACTTTCTTTACTGCCTAAGAAATGTTTCTGCCTGTAGACTCTGTACTAATTAAATACATTAAAAAAAGAAATGTTTCTGTGCCCCTCAGCTACTGTGGCCTGCAACTCTCTTCTATGAACTAAGTCAGCAAACTTACACCTACCCTGTAAGTTAAGGGTAAGTTGAGCTGAGGCCTCCATGTCTGCTTTAGGGAGACCTGCCGGACTCCATCTGGTGTAAATCCATGATCCTTACACCTCCGTGTTTCTTTCTAGAGATGCTTCTTTCTCTATCCTTCCTTGCTGACAGTGTAGGGAATATGTCTCCCCCTTATCCATATATCCTTACTGCAAGGATCAGGTCTGCTATGCAGGATGTTTCCAAGGGCCAGAAGAGCTGCTAATCCACAGCCTA